GGGGGAAAAGACCTTGTCTATTCATCCTATCCATGCCCCTCATGATTTTATAAACCTCTAAGGTCACCCCCTCAGCCTCCAACTTTCCACAGAAAATATCCCCAATCTAGCCTCTTCTTATAACTAGATTTCCAGAGGGACGATTGTGTTTTACAAAACTGCTGGAAGATTTTTTTTAAAAAATTATTAATTTGTGGGACTTGTGCATCGATGGCTGGGTCCAGCATTTATTGCCCTGTTCCTAGTTGCCCCCTTGAGAAGGTGGGGAGAGTGAGCTGCCTTCTTGAACCGCTGCAACCCACCTGCTGTGGGTTGACCCACACTGCCCCTTCGGGAGGGAATTCCAGGGATTCTGACCCAGCCACTGTGAAGGAACAGCCGATATATTTCCAAGTCAGGACGGCAAGTGGTTCAGAGGGGAACTTGCAGGGGGTGGTGTTCCCATGTGTCTGCTGTCCCTTGTCCTTCTAGATGGAAGTGGATGGTGGGTTTGGAAGGTGCTGCCTGAAGAGACTCGGTGAGTTTCTGCAGCGCATCTTGTAGATGGTACACACTGCTGCAACTGACCAGCAGGGGGTGGGGGGTGGATGTGGTGCCAATCAAGCGAGGGCTGCTTTGTCCAGGATGGTGTCAAGCTTCTTGAGCGTTGTTGGGGCTGCCCCCATCCAGGGCAAGTGGGGAGTATTCCATCACACTCCTGACTTGTGCCTTGCAGATAGTGGGACAGGCTTTGAGGAGTCAGGAGGGGAGTTACTCGCTGCAGTATTCCCAGCCTCTGACCTGCTCTCATAGCCGCTGTGTTTTTGTGGCGAGCCCAGTTAAGTTTCTGGTCAATGGTAACCCCCAGGATGTTGACAGTAGGGGATTCAGTGATGGTAACACCATGGAGCATCGTGGGGTGGTAGTTAGATTGTCACTTATTGGACATGGTCATCGGCTGGCATTTGTGTGGCACGTATGTTACTTCCCAGCACAAGCCTGGATATTGTCCTGATCTTGTTGCATTAAACAGGTCACATTGAAAAACTGACAGAAAGGTTCGATGAGGGTGATGCCATTGATGTGGTGCACATGGATTATCAGAAGTGATTGCAGGATTATGATAACTCATCGTATTGTCAAACACCCCCCAGCAAATCTGCTGCCAGCTTGTGACAAGAACGCAGGCTTCAGAAGGCAGTAAGGTGTCGATTCTTTGACAGCGGCACTGCCTGGCATCTGAAGGGAAATGTGGGAACACACACACCAGCCATTACCAGTCCCTGATTATCCAGGGCTTATCATAGAATGCCTGCAGTGTGCAAGCAGGCCATTCAGCCCATTGAGTCCATACTGACCCTCCAAAGAGCATCACACCCAACTACCCTGTAACCCTACATTTCCCACGGCCAATCCACCCTAACCTGCACATCCCTGGGCACTATGGGACAATTTCCCACGGCCAATCCACCCTAACCTGCATATCCCTGGGCACTATGGGACGATTTCCCACAGCCAATCCACCCTAACCTGCACATCCCTGGGCACTATGGGACAA